ACCAGGATGAACAATCAACACGCATAACACAACAATCACACGAGAAACAGTTAGTACGTCAAACTGACGGTAATCAAAATTGTGTGTCGATCTCCTGCACAGAAACCATCAACAAACATATCCAATAACATAAAATCATCCATATCAACAAGAATTCATCGTCAAATCATCACACAAACGCATTGGGATCCATTCTTTTACCCAGATAAGTCATGATCACGCACTCATCTTAGGAAAACGGTTATAACACGAGTTTCAAATTTCAGATTAAACCAAACTCGTGGCTCTGGAAAGCTAAGACTCGGGGCTTTCCAGTGATACGTAGATCGTCTTCTGGGTCCTTACAGAATGACGGAAAACAGCCCGCAAGTTCGTTGTTCGGAACTGGAAACAGGAAATTCCAGTCTCATAAAACATGAACAACACGTTGACATCTAAAGAACACAGAGAACGGAGATTACATCAGAAATAGGATCAGAAACATGTTCTGAAAATTAGACAGAGAGAGATTTCCATAGATAGGTTGATCGTCTCCTAAGTCCTTCTGGTTCGACGGGAATCCTCCCTCGAAACGGACTAATCGCAGACCCAAAACTGCAGACACATCTCTTAGTAAAACAACGATAACTCTCGGAATACTAATCTAAATGACAAACCAATTTCGCCCAAAGCTAGGTACGAGAGTGGAAAACTTACCCTAGCAGTTGCGCTCAAATTCAATTCGATCATCCCAGCCGTTCGTCTCCCCGTCTAAATCGGACAGAACTGTTTTCAAAGCAACAATCTCTTCTTCTCTCTAACTCTTCTGATTTTTGGCCAAAAGAGCCACAAAACGCGATCTCCACGCTTATATAATGGAACCCTAGGGTTCTCTAAACCGATCGCCAAACCGAGCGATCAAAAACCGAACTAGACGGTTCAATTTCAACTTGCGTCGATCGACGCACAACACTTGTGTCGATCGACGCAACATCCAGAACCCGACTCCTCGCGAGTCCAAACACGTGTGTTTGATTTAATTTTGGTTCACGGACGTTACATTATCTTCCTCAAAGAGATAATTGTAAGGTTATATTTTAGCAGGGATCTTTTAAGTTTGATTTAATTTAAGGATTTTTTTAGATTGAATTAGTGAATATCGTTTAGTAAACCGATTTGGATTTTTTAGATTGAATTAGTGAATAATGTATTGATTGGTTTTTGTTGTTTCTTCCATATTTCAATACACAGAGTAATGATAAAGATGTAGTCGGTGTTGCTACAAGAAATTGGAGCGGAAAATCTTAACTTTGGAGAAGGAAATTGTATATTGATGGGTTAACGTTGTGAGACATCGTAATTTGGTTTTGTGTCTGCTTACGTTTCTCACTATATATGTGATATCTACACAAATTAAACCTATCATTCACAACCGAGGACAAGGCGCAAAAATGGTCTGAGCTGCTGGAAGAAACGCCAAGATCCTTAAGCTTAATTAAGTTGGTATTGATGGTGTTACATCTTTTTTTTAATAGAAATATTGAAGTCCAACCGTTTTCATTATCATATGTACTAATAAATGTGACTTTTCGGTTATTAAATAAATAATACAATTGTCATCATCAATTATGCCAAAATTTTAGAGGTTATACATTGTTCGTAAAAGTTCGATCGAGGAAAGGGCTTATAAAGTAAAATTCAAGAAGGAAAAAATTTAAAAAAAATCAAGAAGAGAAACAAGAGAAAAAGAGTAAAAAAGGTTGGAACATTGCATCAAATCAATTCCCCATGATAACAACATTCCTTAGACGAACATGTCAATAATGTGATTGTTTTAGTTTTGTGTTGAATTTAAAATCTCAATTTAGGATTCTAACCTATTATATATATAAAGCCACGGATTGTCTAATCCTCTATCAACATTTTAGCAATGTTGGTGGTTCGTCTGAGTTGCATCTAGGATTAAGTGTGCGATAGTTTTATTTGCCAGATTCATGAATATTATGATTGAGACTGTTTATCACTTGCTTTTTTGTTTTGTTTTGTTTAATTTATCTTTGATGCTATAATTTGACTGCTGATAGAATTTGATTCCTACACTATTTAAAATCAATATATATTCACACAAGTCAACCAATCAAATTGTAGACTAAGAACTTCTGGTCCAAGAACAAAAAAAAAAATCTACGTCTTGCATGGGAAAAAACTTAAACGAAATTGTTTTAGTTCCAAAACTATTGGTCCCTAAAATAAAAAAATTTACATGTTATCTTTAATAATACATTTAGCATATGGAACAATTTAAATGTCAATGTTTCTTGATTGATCGCATTTTCAATTTACATTAGGAAGATTAAGACAAAATATTCAATTTTTTATTTTATTTTGTGTGTCTTCAAGGTTCTTTAGTTTTTATTGGGGATCATTATAACGGGAAGTGTCTCTTTTAGAGGTAACATCTTACTCATAGACAAAGGTAAGAGATTACATCCATTTTTAAATGATGTTCTCTATAACATTAAAAGCTTAGTGTTTGTTTGTTTAATAATGTCTCATATTTTATTTTGATTTTTAATCAATTATATTTATCTTACAGATATGAAAATAGCAAGTTTGCAAAGAATGTTGTTATTTGCTTTATAAGCAAATAGTTCAGCTAAGCCAAAAATACCAACGAAACCACATACACATAATACATGATCATGACTTTTGAAGAAAGGTAATAACTTAGGTTTTTTCTGTTTGATTATTATTATGTGGGTCGTTGTCTATATTTTAAATTTTGTATATACAAATTGTGGCAAAGAAGATACAAGGAAAGAAGAGTGAGGTTGCAGGAGAGGTAGATGGGAAGGCGACATTAGCCGCAGAGAAGTCATTCTCTGTGGGAGATTCCACCATAAGAAACCCAACAAGAGAAAATGAGAAATTGAAGAGCATCATGACCATTATCGTGATTGTGCTTTCACCTAAAAAAAAGGCGAGTGGTGTGGGAGGAGGAACTTCACATAAATTTTATCGCCGTTGTGGAACACCTTGACCTTGCCTGTGAGTCACATACATACATTACAGTTATATTTATTAAGGTTTACCATTTCTAATATACTCTCTTCCTCGATATATGTATATTTTAATAATGAGATTTCATGAAGATGTTGTTCCAATTTACATGTCTATGATTATTTCGATGGTTTATTGTTTGTTTTAAACAAATATCCAATATTGATTTTATAAATAATATTATTTTGATTGTTCAATTATATTTCATGGAATGTTACATGTATATAAGACATCACGGTTAGGATTGGGTACGGGTAATGACTC